GGAACACTTATGTACCATTTTGGGCCTCAAAAAGGTCCAATTGGGCTAATCAATTAAACTTCCAGTTGTAAAAACATACATTTCTGTAGATTGTACCCTTAAGGAGAGGAATGGCCTTTACCCCTACTTCTAAGAGTGTAGCTGTAAATTGAACTGCTGTAAGTAATCTTTTTGTCTGCTGAGTTACCTTACATGGCTGCTGCTGTTGCCGTGGAGAGAGGAAAATAACAGCCAGCTGCTCCAGAGGTGGAGCCGGTATGCATGAATGTAAGGCAGGCTGTCACTGGAAAACAACATGCACGCTCAGCATAAGTCCTGGCCGGGTGAGGTAAGGTTAATAAAACCTCACAGCTTCCCAGAGCAAAGTCATGAAGGAACCTTGTTCTGTGCCGGAGGTTTCTACCAATTATATCAGATTATCTGCACTTGAATGCATTACTCTGTGAGCAAAATCGCAGTAAAGGCCCACTGTGCACTGCCCAGTATCCCAGTTACTTGATGCAAACCTCTGTTTTTCCCTTTGTTTCTCCCCCTTTTGAGCCAATGAACCTGTCAGAAAACATCTCCATGAGCTTGTACACAGAGAACAGAGAGGACCTAATTTTACATGTCGCTGTTTTAAACCCAAGGGGGAAGTCAGCAATTTCACTGCTTTCCTGCAGCGGAGAAAAACACAGCTGGAGTCTGGTGAGAACAGCAACAGTCAGGGGGGTTAGTTGCTCCCTTCAGCATTTCAAATCTCAAAAGACATCAATGGGGTTACGCAGAGCAGTGAACGAAATGTCGTCTATTTTGATTGAGATGGATTTTTCCCCCCTTTGTACTTTTCCCAGATCTGCTGTAAATTTGTTTTTCATGGTGGCGTTCATTCTGACAAAAACCTCGGTGCTGCAGGTTCAAGCAAAAGGGCACAGAAGAAAGCACAGAGCACTAAGCTGGCTGAAACACCGCTTGTTTCTGGAAACAGCTTGCACCAGAGCTAATCAAAGTTTTGTTTGTGGAAGTCTGGAAATGAGCTAAAAACTGGCCTGTTGAATTTTCATCACATTACAATAAGGATGATTCGGTTCTCCTTATTCTTCACGGTGCGCGTGTTTGCATTATAAATATGCTACTGCTGTCACCTGCAGGGCAAACATAGCACTGCATGTCATCCTCTCTGGGTGTCGATTTGTTTTCCTGTACCAGAAAAAAGTCAAATTCATTAAAAATAGATGGGGCTGGAAAAGAGCAAACATCTTCTCCTCTGTCACGTATTATGTTTGCACAGATTTCTCTCTGCAAATAACATCCAGCGGCTTGTTAATGACAAGTCAGCAACAAATTCAAGTTTCCCTGATGGGTTCCCAGAAAACAAATTTACTGCAAAGAACAGGATGTACGGCTTCAGTAATGCAAAATGCAGCAGAAGGCAGACTTTAGATGTTAATCAGGAAAATTAAGACGCACGAATATCCTCACTGATCCCAGTTAATCAGGACGAAGGTAAAAGAAATTTAGATCCAGGTGGATTGTGGCATTTTGACTTTGGGCTGCTCCACTTGTGTTACAGTCTTTGAGTTTGTTTGTTTTGTTAAGCAGCTCTAACATTTAAATATCTGTAACTGACTGGATTAGACAGCTGCTGCTGAGGCTGCTGATGATGATGAAACACATCTGAATCCACCTTCTGACAGAAACACGTTTGCTTGACAGTGAACGCAAACACCAGATTGTTTAGTGTGCGGATATCGCTGCCATTACTCGATAAGACGATCTGTCAGGCAGCGCGGCTGAGAAACTCGCATGCACCTGATTGTATCGCCCTGTTTTATTTCAAACTTTTATCCAAACAAGTTGCGGTGTTTCTTCTCCGTGAATATAAAGCAGATTGCGATTATAACTTATCATCTTCTTCTGGGTCTTTGCTTCCAATTAAACGATGTTTTGATGTTGAAAAAAATAATTTCCTTTTGAAATACGGACTGATGAATTTTAGATTGTAGAAATTAAACCTTTCCCTTTTCCAAACACATTTATTCACTGATCTGTTCTTTCATTACGCAGATAAGCCAAATAATTAGCATGTAAAGCTACATCAAGACTGTTCTCTCAGTCATCTTTTTTTCATTCATCGCCTCTTTCAACAACTGATACCAATTATGTTCGAGTTCAAAAGGGGATTATGATCATGTTGTTGGGCTTCAAAGGTTGATGTCACTCTGTCCTCGGGGGCTAATGTGCAAACTAACCAGCTTTCAGCAATGAATAAACAAACATTTCCACATCTTCTCCTGCCAGACATTTTGCTTGGTTTCAAAAATAACATCATTTGAAATGATACTGAACAGCTTCTGCTCACCTACCAGGCTCTTCCAAAGAGACCAGCGGAGCAGAGTCTGGAGCAGGATTTGGAAGGGGGGGGGGGCTCAAGACAGCCCCACAGTCATGAAACTTTATTTCAGTGCCATATCCCAAAAATAGCACAGCTGAATATGATTTATTATCCTGCCAAACCACACGTTTTGAAAGTAAATACTTTCATGTGGCTCAGTTTGTTTTATTGCCAACCAAATAATTTTTGCTATAATCCAAAAATATAATAATGGGACAGAAATCTCTGTGAAAACTGCTTCCCAGAACCACCTTCCCCATGACGGTGCTCCATTTCTGAAACTACTGCTCTAACATTTATATCCACCTCAGATGGTGACCGGCCATCTAGTGAAGGCGAGGCCGGAGCTCCGGGCTCTACTGGCTCTGTTTTATTTATCACTCAGCTATCTGTTTCTCTTTGAACATAGATTGCACATAAAAGATGGATGTAGGCATCATTAAGACCTCACGTGGGTACTTTTGGGGGTATTTCCTGTTGTCAACTCAAGTTTTTTTCTATCCAGACGAGACCACAGTTGGACGAGAGGACAGAGACATAAAAGAGGATAAGATAAAATACAGTTTATTTATTCCAAAAGACCAGAAATTATTCACACAGCGCACAACAGTTAAAACATTGAATACACCCTATAACAAATAAAGCTTAGACACATTAAATAAGCTCAATAAAAAATAAATACAATATAGATATAATACAATAAAAAACACAATAAATATCATCAATCAAAAACACTGGTATTCCCAGTGGATGTATGTTGAGCCCAACGCACCATCTGCACCTCTGATTCCATAATTAATCATTGGCTTAATTTCTTTTTAGGATGAAAACAGCTACAGTCTGGCAGTGGACCATCTGACTGAGTGCTGTAGAGACAATGATCTGGCCCTGAACACCTCAAAAACAAAAGAGATGATTATTGACTTCAAGGGATCTGGGGTCAGGAAACAAAATCTCCCACTCCACATTCATGGTGAAATAGTGGAGACTGTAGAGAGCCTTAAGTACCTGGGAGTCACCCTCACAGTGCAGCTGACATGGTCCACTAACATCTCCCAGCTGGTCAAGAAGGCACAACAAAGACTCTTTATCCTCAGAAAGTTAAAACAAGCCAAACCTTTACAGAAAGTGTGCAGTGAAATCCATCCTGACAAATAGCAACAGTGTGGTATGCCAGCTGTGCTGCTGCAGAGAGGAAAGAGCTGCACCGAGTGGTGAGAGCATCAAAGAGCATTGTTGGGACGGAGCTCGCACATCTGGACTCCATCTCTGCCATCAGTTTGATGAAGGCAGACAGTATCAGCAAGGACAGTACACCCCGATCAGTCTCGAACAGTTCTGAACAATCAAGACAGAAACAGGAACAGTTTTTACTCTAAAATGACAACTTCCACCACACTACACACTTTACTGTAAACATGGCACTGAAATACACACTTCAATACAAACACATATAATATGTGCATAATGCTGCTGTTTCCCTCCTCTTGGTTGTTTTTATTCATTCTATTTACTTATTGTTTTTATAATAAAGCCTTTTTACTATGTTTATTGATAATAAATATTCATTCAATCATCCGTATGCAGTTAAAATATAAAAAAAAACTTCAAATGCTGTCTTTTTCCAAATAACCACTTGAATTCCTTTATTCTTATCTCTTTAAATTTAGCCTAAAAAAAACAAGCACAGAAGCCTTCATCAGGGAACGAAAGTGGGACTCCGTGGGAGTCCATATTCACCACAGCTGCAGTTGTTTTGATGACCTCAGTGTCAGACTCAGATTATCATCCCTGTCTCCCTAAAAGTCCCAAAGCCAGATGCTGTAGCCTACGAAGTGCAGCATCATCTCTGTGAAACACACTGTACTGCATACTGTAATATAATGCATAATATAAAACCACATAATAACTATATGCAGTTTTTGTGCTAGAGAAAATGAAAATTGACAAGCAAAAAAAAAAAACTTTTGGAAAACTGATGACGGTTGACGGTTGGAAGGTCGGGTAGTCGGGTATAGTGCTGCACCAAAAGTCTCCCTGTGACTATTTTGTTGTAAGCAGGTTGCTGCAGTCGCCAGTAGTTTGCATGGAAGACGCCGACTTGTCTGCAAACACTCGCTAACAGTTCAAAAGGTAGTGAAACTGAAAGGTGGTGAGAAACAAAGACCGTTTATATTTAAAGTAAACATTATGCTTCTTGAAATATGTTGATTGCACAGCAGTAAAGCAGGCCATTTAATCTGAAGGTTTCAGGGTTTTTGCAGGTTTTGTCTCAAGTGTTTGCAGAAAAGATGCCGTCGTCTATGCATCGTCTAACGGCATCCACTGCAACCTGCTAGAGATCAAAGTAATCGTAAGGACGTTTTTAGTGTTGCAATATTTTTGGGGTGTTTTCATCTGATGAACAACATCCAGCAATGGCTCACCAACCAGTCCAGGAGTATTCAGTACCCCACCCCTTTCTAGGCCTGCACGACTGAGGCCCAACATTCAAATTTGGGTTGGGATCAAGCACGATTTTGTCACGGCACACTGAGAGGACTCAAACTCAGAACTTACCACGATCAGTTTTACAAGATTTAACAAGGAAACTCAAGAATATTTTATGATCCCAATGGATCCGGCTGCAGACAGGCTAAATACACAAACAGTGGTTTCCAACTTTCTTTATTCAGCTTCAGCTCTGAATAAAGAAATGCCAGGGGTTTTTTTTATATTTAAAATCTCTTTATCGCGTCCTCGTCAAGTCTTCCCAGCTCCCAGCAGCAGAGTCAGGGGCTGAACAGCTCTGAAAATGTGAGAAGAGAAATTCAGTCAGAGTTCACATTTTCAGTTCCTCCCCTGAGGGACCGCTTCACTAGCTTCTGTGCTCTTCATCACCTGCTGATTATCGCAGTCTGCTCAGTTCGTCACCCAGATGTCCAGAGGTCAGAAGCTAAACACACAAATGAAAGAAAAATAACTGTAATGTGAACATAAACTCTAATTTTATGACCCATGTAAACGGTAAATCACATTTACACAACTTCCTCCTCCCTGCCACTTTATCTTTCATAATATGTCCTGCATGTATCACCATCACATCACTGTGATAAACAGCATGCAGGGAATGCAAACAAACCATTAATCTCCTTCTGCCAACAGAAAAACAACCCACACCGCAAACATTTCCTAAATAACCAACTCCTGCTTATTTACACTGCACTATTAAGGCTGCGAGGATGATGCAAACAATGAGACAGCGGTGTGTTTGCTTTAAAAAGGAACTGGAAGCAAAACCGTTTATGAATATTTTACTGTGGAGAGCGGAGAGCGACAAAGAGGACGTCTGGAGTCAGCTTTTGATAGTTTTTAAACGGCCCTGTGTGTGTGTTTGTGCGGCGTATGAGTAAATAACTGGAAGTAGCTGCGGCACTTTGTCTCCCTCGCTCTCTCTGAATACCTGCTGCCAAAGTACACAAGAGGAAATAATAAATAGAAATGCAAAAAGAGAACATCTGGTGGGAACAGTTAAAAAAAAAACACATGAAAAATTATGATTATACTCAGGGAAAATACACAGGCACCTTACAATAAACGCATGTGTTTTCCTTTGTTAAAATGCATTGGATATTTCTCTCCGAGTTATGACGCTGAAATCTGTCTCCCACACACAGAGCGAGCATTTTTTTTTTTTGGAAAGTGACCAATGCAGACATGAAAAGCAATCAGATGTGATTGTGTTTGTAATTGGAGAGGAGTTCTGTGTGGCTCCGTAGCAGAACATGGTTGATTGTGTTTGAATAGTTGCTGATTGACTGTAGCTCTGCTGCAGCCAAGCTGTGCACACTATGTGTCCAATAGTTTTCTTTTTCTTTTTAAAAAAAAGGAACTTGAAAATTGCTTCGTAAACTAAGGAGTTAACCATTTATTCCCCGTGCAATCATATTGCTCCTTAGGTCACAAATTCAGCCTGACTGCTGGACTGAAATAACTCTGGTGAAGAGACGCCACTGGAAAGAAATGTACAAGGATGGGTTTTGTAATGAAAAATGAACAAGCTGGGTGAAGCAAAGCGCCGTGCTGTGTGGGAAATAACACAGAAGTATTCAAAAGTGCTACTCTTGTGGAGAGGTAATTATTGTCTTTCATAAAAATAATATTCTTAGAAATACGAGTCATTTTTGGGATTGTACATGCCACATTTCTGGAAGTTTCCTGAACAATAAATAATCTCACATGCAATAATATCACATAATCTCAATCAAATTGTAGCTCCACAGTTTAGCAGTCAGATTAAAAGAGTTTAGACTGGGTATGTCTGAAGACAACTACACAAAAGAGGAGTGTAAAGGCAGGTAAACACTGTGAAATTTCAGATTAAA